TCTCACAGCGCGCGCGCGCGCGCACGCACACGCACGCACACACACACACACACACACACACACACACACACACACACACACACACACTAGGGGTTTTCTATAAAACTAAACTCTGGTTCTCAACAAGATGCGATTTTTGCTTCTGAGAGCATCTGTCAAAGTCCGGAGACACGTGTGTGCGGGGACAAGGTACTACTGGTATTTAATGGGAGCAGATCACTGCAATGGCACTGCAGTGAAGATACACTGGGTTAAGTGACTGACCGCAAGGACGCCAAGCCTCCGGGAGCGCGGAGATCGTTTCCCCATGGAAACGGGGTGGGGGGTGTATCTAGCAGGAGAATGGTGATTAAGAGGCGCCGGGGTTTGGCTCTGATGTTCCGAGTCAGGGCAGGACAGAGGTACAAGACCAGGGCCTGGGGCGTCCCTCGCGGACCCGGAGGGACCGCCCCGCCACTTGCCTCCAAATCTTACCTGTAGGAAGACGCTGACAGCAGAAACCACCGCCTCTGAAACCCGCGCTGGGTACTTTCAGCCGGGACACCCGGAGTCATTCCCGCGAGATCTCAGGGTACGCTCTCGCGAGACATGGCCTGACCGGCCTGAGTTCGCGCATGCGTCGCAGCGCTCCACCCCGTGGCGGTACGTTTGGCCGGTACGTTGGCCTGGCTGACCGGGAGAGAGCGGCGTTGGCGTGAGCTATGTATGATGTCGTGAAAACGGTCTACTGAGCGGCCGCTTGTGGTTTCCATCTTTCCTCCTTCCAGAGTCCCTCCTGGGTCACGGGGCCCCTCCCACCCTTTGGAACTTGGGGAGGAAGTGCGCGCGCTTGCAGGAGTAAAGGGCTGAATGTTCAGCTCCCTTGTTGCTCCGGGTCCCCAGAGACAGAGGCTGGGCTCGGAAGTCAGGGGCTCTCTCCACCCGCGGTCTGGCCTGGCCCACGGAGTCCGGCCGTAGAGGGGCGAGCTCAGGAGGAAGCAGATAACAATGGCTCAGGTAGTTCCACCTGCCTCTTCCCAGGGTCTCTATGAAAGAAAGTCCCTTGTTTATGCTCGTTAAAGCTCCGTTAAGCATCTTAGGGCTTTCCGGGAGACCACTGGTCTGATTCCTGAAATCCAGGTCCCCTTTGCCGATAGGTAACTCGTCATTTTCTCTTCCAGTCCGCCATGTCCCTCAAGTGTGATGTGTTGAGTCAAGATGAACTGCGCAAAAAACTATACCAGACGTTTAAGGATCGGGGTATACTGGACACACTTAAGGTATCAGATTTAGACATGATTGTCCTTAGTTTCACAAGTGTAACCTTTGACAGTAGGTAGTTCCACATTGAAATTCATCCAGAGCTTGACTTTCTAAATTTAAATTACTAAAATACAGATTGTATTGAGTTTCAGTCGTCTTAAAGAACATATAATCGATTTATTGAACTGACATTAAGGTAGCAGCAGCAGCACATAACATGTATATAGTGAAACATTGTAATAAGACTAAGCTGCTGTTATAAATCTTGTTTACATTGTAGATTTGACCATATTACATGTATGTAATGAAAGCAGAAGGAGAATTGTTGTGGGGAAAGGACAGGACTAGGGAGGTGAATATGAACAGAGTACAACAGCATACATGTATGAAAACATCAAAATGAAACCTATTGTTTTCTTTGCTAACTACAAAATAATAAACCCAGTAACTTAGATTCACACTTTTCAGAATTAATAGGTGGTTTTAGAGTCTTGTTTGGATGACACTACAGTTTGAGAAATGGAGTTTTTTTTTTCCCTTCTTTATACTGGAATGGTAGCAGGTGTGGTGTCACATGCCTTTAACCCCAGCACTTGGGAAGCAGAGGCAGGCACATCTCTGAGTTTGAGGGCAGCCTTGGCCAAATAGCCAGTTCCAGGTCAGCCAAGACTACATAGTGAGACCCTGTCTCAATAATAGTAAATAAAAATAAAATATATTAGAACGTGAATATTTAATATGAATAGCAAATATCTATTAGTGCACCTTAAATTTGGGTAACAGCAAAGCGTGGAATGAGTTAGTTCAATGTGTTTCACTACAATATACCTTTCAGAAATATATTTTACATTTAGAATTGGAAATTAAGGAAAATCGAGCCTGATTTTCCCCACTTTTATTGTTTTATTAACTTCATAAAAATTTGAAGACTTGTCTTGATAATACAAAAAAGCAGAAGGGAGAAAAATCATATCTTTTATAACTACAAACTGGTATAAGGTGTGTGTATCATTTTACAATTTAGGTTATATGATGAGCCTTTCCCTGTTTCCTGAAGGTGTATGAAATCCTTGTTTTCAGTGGCAGCAGATTCATCCCAGTTAGTCAAAGGTCATTTGGGTAGCTTTCTCCTATTGAATGTTTAGCCTCTACTAAAGTCTACACATGATCTATTTATTGTGCTTGTCATTTTCTATCTAGCCTAGAGAAATCCCATTTCTGAGTACAAAGGCATAAGTAGGTTTTGGCCAGTTTACAGTGTTCCTTCTGCCTCTGCCTTTTGAGTGCTGGGATCACAGGCCAGTGCCATTATGCCTTGAAGTATGAGCATTTTTAGCAGTGTATCCAGCTGGATCTGAAACGGTTTTTACAGTTTATATTTCACAAGCAGTTTGGGAATATGTTTCATTGTTGCCCTTACACCTTTTAACAGTGCTTCAATCATTTTCTGTTTCATTTCTTTGATTAGTAAGCTCATTGTACTTTTCTGTTCGTTTATATCTATTTTTCTATGAGAATGCTTAGGGTGATAGTATTTTAAGAGCTTTTAATAGAAAGTATTGATCTTTTTCTATTTTTGCTGTACTTTATCTCAGTGTTCTATTTTAATTTGGCTTCAAAAATATTGATGTCCAATTTTTATATAGTCAAACCAGATTTTTTTATTCTCATGTCATTGAATGATTTTTCACTTTTGAGGATGTGTGCCCTTGTGTGTTCTGGCTCCTGTGTAGATAGTTGAATATGCATGTGTGTGTATTCCTGTCTTTATGAGCCATCCACCTTGTGTTTTGAGACAGGGTCTCCTGCTGTGACCTAAGATCGATTACTGATGAGGGTAGACCTCCTGGCCATTGAGCTCCTGGTGTCCTCCTGTTTATCACCCCAGTACTGGGATAACAAGCATTCACCACCATGCTTAGCTTTTTATGTGTACACTAGGGGTTGAACTCAGGTACTCAGGCTTGCACAGCAAGTATTTTAGCAGCTGAGCCATTGCCCCAGCTCTCTCATTTGAAATGTTAGAAAGGCTTTATCTTTGATGATTAACTCATTATCTCCATTAAAGATACTGGATTAAACAACCTGGATTGATTACACTTCATTAACCTATAGTATTGAACACTCTTTTCATTCCTGGGTGTGTGGTATTCCAGATTAGACTTGACAGTCCTTTACTTCACATCTCGGTTTTATTTGGTATTGACCAGTGGATATCTTTATCTGTAACCCTTTTGTGCAAGCCTTGCTCACTTCACAGCTATAGCAGGACTGGCTCTTCAGTCTCTTACCGTATGAAAGGTAGGGCAGATTTTCATCTTCATTTTCTCAAACTTCGCTAATTTTTACTTTCTCGTTCAAAGACTGATACAGATTAAGTTATAACTTTTAAATTTTATAGAATATTTAGTGGCTTAGTTTATATCCTGTTTATCATTTGAAAAGAATTTGTGTTTATGTCAATTACAAAGTCATTTAGGTATAGGGTGCTTTTGTTTGTTTTGTGGGTTTTGTCATAATTTTTGTGGTTTTTGAGACAGTGTCTCACTCACTATACTGCCTCAAACTCATGGTGATCCTCCTGCCTCAACTTTCCTAGTGTTAGGATTATAGGCATCTTCTACTACATCTAGTTTAGGTATATATTAAATGAAACTTGTCAAGTCATGTTTCTTTGTTTTTGGTCTAGTTAATCCATTTCTGAGATGTGTGTTAAAGACTGACAAATCTTTTCTCTCACTTTGTGACAACTGTCCTTTCATACTACTGTATATTTTTTAAGGCTTATTTATGTCTGCCTGAGTGTGTGCACATGTGTAGGTATGTGTCCTTATCTGTACAGGCAGCCAGAACAGGCTGGCTGATCCCTTGTGTTGGCAGGACACCCGGGGGGCTTTTTGCACAGGTACTAGCATCTCAACTCCAATCCTCATGATTATGTAACAGGCACTCCTAAACTACTTTTTTTTGAGACAGGGTCTGTGTAGCCCAGACTGGCCTTAAACTATTTATAGAGCCAAGGATGACCTTGAATTTCCCAGTTTATCTGAATCAGACTGCCACAATCCACAGTTGGGAGGAAGTGGCAGAATTTTCCCTTGGCTTGATTTCCTTATCATAAGCAGCTGCTTTTAGAGAAGCCAAGTTATGGTCTATGGACAGTGGGTGTGGGAGCTGGAGAAAGAAAATTTTTGCTCAAGTCCACTGAGGAATAAGACAAATTGTGAAGGAAGTGCTTTCTACCTTCTGCCCATGGATCTAGAGTCATTTTGAAAATAAAAGAAAGAATTCAGTTAATATAGCAGATCTGTGTATATTTCTGTTCTGGTGAAATATATCTCCTTTTGTCTTCCTTTTTTTTTAAATTTTAATTTTATTTTATTTTCACGCTAGACACAACTCCGAAACCAGCTAATTCATGAATTGATGCATCCTGTATTGAGTGGAGAAGTGAAACCTCCGTCCATTTCAGTGGAAGGGAGTGCCCTCCTAATAGGTGCTTCTAACTCGCTGGTGGCAGATCACTTACAAAGATGTGGCTATGAATATTCACTTTCTGTTTTCTTTCCAGAAAGTGGTTTGGCAAAAGAAAAGGTAAATTCTGGTATTCTTGAATTTTCTCTTTACAGTTTCTCCCTTTAATAACTGTGAAGTGCTGCATAATTACTCTGCTTGTCCCTTGACTGGCTTGCTTCATTTCTTGTTCATCTTTGATTCACATCATCCCTGTACAAATATTTTTTTTTTTTTTTTTTTTTTTTTGGTTTTTCGAGACAGGGTTTCTCTGTGTAGCTTTGCGCCTTTCCTGACACTCACTTGGTAGTCCAGGCTGGCCTCGAACTCACAGAGATCCGCCTACCTCTGCCTCCCAAGTGCTGGGATTAAAGGCGTGCGCCACCACCGCCCGGCCGAATATATTTTTAGATAACAAATGAGTACCAAATGTGACTGTTGTTAATGCTTTGGTATTTCACTCTTTTATAAAATAGTGATGTGTGGAATCACTAAATGGTTTGGAGCTAAAGGTAATGTTGCAGTCCATGTGGTTTAAATTAGATTGGTAACTGCCATGTCTGTAATGTTCACTGTGAAACTGAACTGTGTTAGGTACACTGCAGGGAACACATGCGTTACAAATGATGACTCAGAATGTAGACTGGGGAAGTGATTTGCCCAAGGTGAGGAGCTTCTAAATAGCATTGCAGGACAGAACATTTTGATTTCTAACATGTGCTCCATTTATATCGCTGCAGGTGTTTCTCTGCTTTGTAATTACATAAGAGAAGAGCAAAATACACAAGTTGAGAAAATCTATAAAGTTCTCAACTATAAAAGCACATGTCTTATGGTTTAT